CCACTAATCTGCTTTGTCTCTATACTTGCCAATTTTTGATATTTTAGGTTAGTCACAGCTGAAGCTCTTATCACTTGAGCCACATCTCCATTTTGTATAAATAGAATCTTATACACTTGTGACTGGCCTCTCACAGAGCAATTGATGAACAATTGGGTTTTTTATTTTTTGGCCATTGTGAGTGGTAATCTAAGAGCATTTGTGTACAGGTTTGTTTTTTTTTGGGGGGGGGGGGGTCTGGTCATGAGGCCTGAACTCTGGGCCTGGGTGCTGTCCCTCAGCTCTTCAGCTCAAGGCTAGAGCTCTACCACTTGAGCCAAAGCGCCACTTCTGGCTTTTTTCTTTTTGCTTATGTGGTGCTGAGGAATCGAACCCAGGGCCTCAGGCATGCAAGGCAAGCGCTCTACCACTGAACCACCTTCTCAGCCCTTGTGTACAGGTTTTGTTTTTTGTTTTTGTACTGATACTGGGTCTTGAACTCAGGGTCTAAATGCTGTCCCTAAGTTTTTGTGCTCAGGGCTAGCACTCTACTACTCAAGTCCCAACACCACTTCCAGCTTTTTGGTGGTTAGATGGAGATAAGAGTCTTGTGTGGCTTTGAACCCTATCTTCAGTCTTAGCCTTCTGAGTAGCTAGAATTACAGGCATGGAGCCACCAGTGCCTGGTTATGTACAGGTTTTTTTGTGAGCATACTGTTTTTGTATGCATATACATACATATAGACTTGCTAGTTCATATTGTAATTGTGCTTAAAGGGACAGACTTGGACAGACTTTCTTTCTTTCTTTGACTTCAATACTAGGGAATGAACCCAGGATCTTACAAGTTTTGTACATGCTCGGCAAGTGCTCTATTACTGAGCCATACCCCTTACTCCTGCCCAAAAGGACAGTTTTGTGTTATCCTCCTAGCAAAGAAACTGTAAGAAAAGGTGAGATCAAGAAAATGAAGTCTGAGATGGGGAGGAGTGAAAAGTTAAGAATTGAGAACACTTGTTTCTCAGCATTGGGCATGGAAAGAAGAGCTCTTGGACACAATGTATCAAGAGACCTAAAAAATCCATCCTCAAATTTGGTATTACGTTTTGTTGTTAAACCAGACCTAATTATGTAACTCAGGCTGGCATAGCTTTGGGTCTTAACTGCCTCTTCCGCTTTCTACATCAACAGGCCACCATGCCCTGCTTTTCTTTGCAATATTTTTTTGAATTGCCAGTCCTGGGACTTGAACTCAGGGCCTGGGCGCTATCCCTAAGCTTCTTTTGCTGAAGGGTGGCATTCTACCACTTGAGCCACAGCGCCACTTCTGGTCTTTTCTTTCTTTTTTCTTTGTTTTTGTCGGTTGGGTGGCTTGGGCACTGTTCCTCAACTCTTCAGTTCAAGGCTAGCGCTCTACCACTTGAGCCACAGTGCCACTCCCGACTTTTTCTGCATATGTGGTGCTGAGGAATTGGACCCAGGACCTCATGCATGCAAGGCAAGCACTCTACCATTGAGCCACCTTCCCAGCCCCACTTCTGGCCTTTTCTGTTTATGCAGTAGTGAGGAATCAAACCAATGGTTTCATGCATGCTAGGCAAGTGCTCTACCACTAAGCCACATTTCCAGCACTGCCAATATTTTTTTGACTCAGTTTTTTTTCCCCTCAACTATTGCATGTTTTATAGATTTCATAGATAAGCAGTAGTCTGATTTCCTATAACTTATATTATTTAAATTTATAGTATAGGCTGCTGGTAGTTCACACCTGCAATCCTAGCTATTTGGGAGGATGAGATTACAGTTAGAAGCCAGCATGGGTAAGAAAGTCCATGAGACTCTTACTTCCAGTTAACCACCAGAAAACTAGAAATGGAGCTGTGGCTTAAAGTGTTAGCATGCTAGGGGCTGGGAAGGTGGCTCATTGGTAGAGTGCTTGCTTTGCATGCATGAGGCCCTGGGTTCAATTACTCAGCACCACATAAGCAGGAAAAGCCGGAAGTGGTGCTGTGGATTAAGCGCTAGAGTGCTATCCTTGAGCTGAAGAGCTGAGGGACAGCGCCTAGGCCTAGAGTTCAGGCCCCACAACCGGAAGGAAAAAAAAAGTGTTAGCATGTTAGCCTTCAGTACAATATCTCAGAGACAGTAGAGACAGTGCCCAGGCTCTGAGTTCAAGCCCCACAACAGACCAAAAAATAAATTAATTAATGGTGCAGGAGTGGGGGCATGGCTCAAGTTTTAAAACATGAGGCCCTGAATTTCATAGTTACCAAGACCACAAAAAATGCAAGTGCGTGCACGTGCACACAACCCCACACACAGTGCAGCTTTACCCTATTATATTTGGAATGAATTAATTAAAATTTCTCTGCCCTTGCTTAGGATTAAGAAAATCATCAACATTGGAGGGGGGGGGGCTAGGAAGGGATGTAATGGGTAAACAAAGGAGGAGGCTGCAATGCTTGATAAGAAATGTACGGGCGCTGGTGGCTCACGCCTGTAATCCTAGCTACTCAGGAGGCTGAGATCTGAGGATCATGGTTCAAAGCCAGCCGAGGCAGGAGAGCAGGAGAGACCGTGAGACTCCTATCTCCAATAAACCACTAGAAAACCGGAAGTGGCCCTGTAGCTCAAGTAGTAGAGTACTCGCCTTGAGCTGAAGAGCTGAGGGACAGCGCCCAGGCCCAGAGTTCAAGCCCCACGACCGACAAAAAAAAATAAATGTACACATTATCCTGCCCATGTAATTGTAACCCCTCTGTACAGTATGTTCACAAAAAAAAATTAAATTTAAAAAAATTTAAAAAAAAGAAAATCATCAACATATAAGCATCTTTTTGTTAATCAGTTTTTGGTTTGGCTGAGTCAAAGTAAATTCCTTTTTTTTTTTTTTTTTTTTGATCGGTCATGGGGCTTGAGCCACAGTACCACTTCTGGTTTTCTAGTGGTTTATTGGAGATAAGAGTCTCACAGACTTTCCTGCCCAGGCTGGCTTTGAACCGCAATCTTCAAATCTCAGCCTCCTGAGTAGCTAGGATTACAGGCATGAGCCACCGGTGTCTGGGGAATTCGTTTTCTTTTTCTTTTTGTGACCAGTGCTGTGGCTTGAACTCGTCCTGGGCACTGTCCCTAAACTTCTTTTTGTTCAAGGCTAGCATTCTACCACTTGAACCACAGTGCCACTTCCAGCCTGTTTATGTTGTACCGAGGGATCGAACCCAGGTCTTCATGCATACTAGCCAAGCACTCTACTACTAAACCACATTCCCAGCCCTGAGTGTGTGTATTTTAACTAGTTTGGTAATATAGTATTATACTGAGAGATAAACAGTTGAGCAAATACCTTCTGTAATACAGTAAAATCCCTCTGAACCTCTTCCTCTGTAGTATTTAAGGCAGGTCTCTTTGACCCTCCCCAGGTGCGATTTCATGATCTATAACAGGAAGGTGCTAACTGCCCTACTTAGCTCAAGGTTATTCTGTGCATTAAAATGGTGCCTGTGAAAGCACTTGGGAAATCTCAGTATGCTAGGTAACAAACAGGAAGGATTCAGCTAAAGAGCTGGATTAGTAGTAGTATCTTGTTCTAGCTTGGGATAAATCTCAGGTAGTTGATGAGAATAAAGGGATATAATTCAATTTTCTTCAAAGATGAAAAACAGCTAGGTACCAGTGGCTCCCACTTGTTATCCTGCCTACTCTTTTTTTTTTGGGGGGGGGGGGGGTCCGGTCATGGGGCCTGAACTCTGGGCCTGGGCACTGTCCCTCAGCTCTTCAGCTCAAGGCTAGCGCTCTACCACTTGAGCCACAGCGCCACTTTCGGCTTTTTTCTTTTTGCTTATGTGGTGCTGAGGAATTGAACCCAGGGCCTCATGCATGCAAGGCAAGCGTTCTACCACTGAGCCACCTTCCTAGCCCCCTACCTACTCTTTTTTTCCCTTTTTTTGTCAGTCGTGGGTCCTGAACTCTGGGCCTGGGTGCTGTCCCTCAGCTCTCCAGCTTAAGGCTAGTGCTCTACCACTTGAGCCACAGTGCCACTTCCGGCTTTTTTTGCTTATGTGGTGCTGAGGAATTGAACCCAGGGCCTCATGCATGCAAGGCAAGCACTCTACCGGGGAGCCACCTTCCCAGCCCCTATCTTCAGACTGAGAACTGAGGATCACAGTTCAAAGCCAAGCTAACCCTGCCAGGAAAGTCCATGAGACTCTTTATCTTCAATTAACTGCCCCCAAAAGCCAGAAGTAGAACTGTGGCTCATGTGGTAAAGTACTAGTCTTGAGCAAAAAAGTTCAGGAATAGTGCCTGTGTCCTGAGTTGAAGCCGTAGGACCAGTACCAAAAAAAAAGAGGAAAGATAAATTGTCATTCTTCAGGGTCTCTCCATCTATTTTCATTCAATGAATATTTCCTGAGTAAACTAGATACCAAATACCTATCCAGGGCTGTAAGATTAGGCATATTCTAATTAAAGGTAAAATAGGTATTTTTCCACAAATTCATAAACAGAACTTTTTGATGCCCATAACCTGGCATTTGAAGTCAAATTTATTTTCTTAATTTTAGCCATTGTGAACTGAGACAGCTTTCTTCTACCCTGTCAAGGTTTTGTGTTTTTTTTCTTTATTGTGAAAATACTGTACAGAGGGGTTACAATTACAGGGCAAGATAATGAGTACGTTTCTTTTTTTTTTTTTTTTTTTGCTGGTCGTGGGACCTGAATTCTGGGCCTGGGTGCTGTCCCTCAACTCTTCAGCTCAAGGCCAGCGCCCTACCACTTGAGCCACAGCACCACTTCCAGCTTTTTCTGCTTATGTGGTGCTAAGGAATTGAACCCAGGGCCTCATGCATGCAAGGCAAACACTCAACCACTGAGCCACCTTCCCAGCCCCATGAGTATATTTCTTATCAATCATTGTAGCCTTCTCTTTTGTTTCCCCTTCCGATCCCTTCCCATCCTCCCCCCACCGACCCCCTCACCTGTCAAGGTTTTAAACTTGTATCCCTTCCTTTGATTTGTGTCAGGATGAACGTTTGATATAAAAGACTTGACTCCATAATCTCCGTCTGCCCTAATGCTGTCATCTGGAATAGAGACTCAGCGGGTTCCACTTGATTCCTCCATGTCTGCTGTGGTACAGGAATTTTACTCTGAACTTCCCGTAAGTGTTTCCACAGAGCTTCTTGCTGAGCCAAGTGTGATTCCAGATGTAAAAGCTGTAGCCTCAAGCTTTCTTATAAGTCAGAGTAGGGTATTGTCCCTGGAGCTATAGGGGACCCATGCAAAAAGTTCTTGTGAGGAAATCACTGATAGTTTGGATGATGAGGGCAGTCCTGGGTGGTGTAGTCCAATGAACTCCACAGCAAGAGATTCTATGGCTTCCAAGATCTTTTTTTTTTTTTTGTCAGTCGTGGGGTCTGAACTCTGGGCCTGGGTGCTGTCCCTCAGCTCTTCAGCTCAAGGCTAGTGCTTTACCACTGGAGCCACAGTGCCACTTCTGGCTTTTTTCTGCTTTTGTGTGGTGCTGAGGAATTGAACCCAAGGCCTCATGCATGCAAGGCAAACACTCTACCTGAGCCACCTTCCCAGCCCCGCTTCTAGGATCTTGGATAGAGAAGAGAAAGCCAAAAGCATGGAGCATGGTCCTCAGAGATCAAGGGGACCAGGTAGAAGTTATCAGAGACCCCTGTGAGGGAGCACAGGAAGACTCATGCCAACATTCCCCAACTGCTGAAGAAAAGATCAGCCCAAGGCAGCTAAGAGATGAGATCTTGATCCAGATGAGTTCAGTATGGATTGCCACTGGGCAGACAAAACATGTAGGCTAACGAGTGGTTTATAATTTATTCTTAATACATTTCCAAACCTTTTTTTTTTTTTTTTTTGCCAGTCATGGAGCTTGAACACTGGGCCTGTGTGCTGTCCCAGCTCAAGGCTAGTGGTAGTGCCACTTCTGGTTTTCTGGTGGTTTATTGGAGCTAAGAGTCTCATGGATTTTCCTGCCTGGTCTGGCTTTGAACTGTGATTCTCAGATCTCAGCTTCCTGAGTAGCTAGGATTACAGGTGTAAACCACCGGCACCGGCTGTCCACTTCCTGAAGTTCATATCAAGAAACAATAATATGATCAGAGAAGTATATTATACCCTTGTGTTCCTCCCCTAGCGAGTATCCTTCTTTGAACTCACCAAAATATTGTTTTGTTTTGTTTTTTAACTGTGAAAATACTGTACAAGGGGTTACAATTACATGAGCAAGGTAATTAGTACATTTCTTCTCAAGCATTGTTGCCTCCTCCTTTGTTTCCCCTTAACATCCCTTTTTTTGTCATTGTTGTTGCCAGTCCTGGGTTTGAACTCAGGGCCTGGGCACTGTTCCTGAGCTGCTTTTGCTCAAGGCTAACACTCTACAACTTAAGCCACAGCACCACTTCTGGCTTTTTCTGTGTATATGAATTCAACCCAGGCCATCATGCATGCTAGGCAAGCACTCTACCATTAAGCCACCTTCCCAGCTATAAACATCATTTTTTAATATTAACATATTTTGATGATCTTTTTTAAAATTTTATTTATTGTAAAAATAGTGTACAGAAGGGTTACAGTTACATGAATAAGGTAATGAATACATTTCCTATTGAGTGTTGTTACCTCCTCCTTTGTTTATTCCTATTTTGATGATCTTAAAAGCATTTGTGTTACATTGGATACTTAAAGAGAGAAAGTGATTTTATCTAGTTTTTTCTTTCTTTTTCTTTTTTACCGGTCCTGGGGCTCCAAAGCTGGGCTGGGCACTGTCCCTTTTTGCTCACAGTTAGCACTCTACCACCTGAGCCACAGTGCCATTTCTGGCTTTTTCTGTGATTAATTGGAGTTGAGTCTCAGAGACTTTCCTTGCCTGGCTGGCTTCGAACCGTCATCCTTAGATCTTAGCCTCCTGAGTAGCTTTATAGGATTATAGACATGAATCACTGGTACTCAGCATCAAGTTCATATATTTTGACTCTTCATGTTTAGTGAAACAGTCTAAACTCTAAATTCATTTTAATCATGTTTGAGTACACAGTTCTAGTTACATTACATCGTGTGACAATCACCCATCTCCAGACTGAAACTTTACCTACTAAGTAATAACTTCTCCCTCCCCTCTCCATGTCCCTAACAACTGCCATTCTACTTTCTGCCTGGGAATTTGATTCTAGCTATCTCATATAAATGGGCTCATACAGTATTTGTGCTTTTGTAACTGATTATAATAGTTTTTAAATCTTTAAAAAATTAAAATACTGGGGCTGGGAAGGTGGCTCCATGATAGAGTGCTTGCTATGCATGCATGAGGCCCTGGGTTTAATTCCTCAGCACCACATAAGCAGAAAAAGCCAGAAGTGGTGCTGTGGCTCAAGTGATAGAGCACTAGCTTTGAGCAGAAGTGCTGAGGGCCAGTACTCAGGCCCAGAATTCAGGCCTCACAACCGACAAAAAAAATAAATAAATAAAATACTTCTGGCTGGGGTAGCATACTTAACGCTCTGAGCTCCATACCCCATATCACAAAAAAGTATATTAACTTTAAAAGGTAAACCAACAAAAATATTTTTTCCTACTTTATAATGTGTCAAGAGGTTTAAGAAAATGTATGATTAGTAGTTTTTATCTTATTGGCAAGGGATAGAACTGAAAAATATCTGAGAACAGGTGCAGTGGGAGAGACAGCTGCAAGAGCCAAACTGAATTGTGAAAGAACACATTCAATCCTCAGCCTCGTTCTTGTAGGAGAAAAGTTGGAGAAGATGGTGTATGCATGCGAAATGTCCTTAGTCAGGATGTGGAGAAGAATTGTGTACCACAGAGATGATGTGTGATGTCATCCTGCACTGACATTGAAAATCCCTTCTTTTAAATGTCATTATACATGGTGAATTTATTTCAAAACACATTTTGAAATATTTTGCACATATAATGTATAGAAAATAATATAAAGCCTATGTACATTTGATTTCCTTATTTTTTGGGGGGGTGGGGTCAGTTGTGAGACTTGCACTTGGCATGGGCACTGTCCCAGAGCTCTTCAGCTCAAGACTAGCACTTTGGCTGGGTGCTGGTGGCTCAAGCCTATAATCCTAGTTACTCAGGAGGTTGAGATCTGAGGATCATGATTCAAAGCCAGCCCGGGCAGGAAAGGCCAATTTTTTAAAAAAGGCTAGCACTCTACCATTTTAGCTACAGCACCCACTTCCAGCTTTTTCTGCTTATGTGGTGCTGAGGAATTGAACCCAGGGCTTCATGCATGCAGGGCAAGCATTCTACCACTGAGACACCTTCCCAGCCCAAAGCCTATGTACATTTGAAAGTCTGGACATTCCACTTGGCTGTCAAATCTTAGCATCTTGCATATTTAAATAAGAGCAGTTTTAAATTTTGATTAGTTCTTTTTTTCTTTTTCTTTTTGTCAGTCATGGGGCTTGAACTCTGGGCCTGGGCTCTAGCCCTGAGCTCTTCAACTAAAGGCTAGCGCTCTCCCACTTGAGCCACAGTGCCACTTCCGGTTTTCTGAGTGGTTTATTGGAAATAAGAGTCTCATGGCCTTTCCTTCCCCGGCTAGCTTTGAACCCTGATGCTCAGATCTTAGCCTCCTGAATAGCTAGGATCACAGGCATGAGCCACTGGCCCCAGCCAGTATTTCTTTTTCTTCCTTTTTTTTGGGGGGGGCGGGGGGGGGTTTCCAGTCGTGGGGCCTGAACTCTGGGCCTGGGCACTGTCCCTCAGCTCTTCAGCTTGAGGCTAGCGCTCTATCACTTGAGCCACCAGTTCCACTTCTGGCCTTTTCCGCTTATGTGCTGCTGAGGATTTGAACCCAGGGCCTCAGGCATGCAAAGCAAGCACTCTACTACTGAGCCACCTTCCTAGCCACCCCCCCTTTTGTTGTTGTTGTTGTCATGGGCTTGAACGCTGGACCTGGGTGCTGTCCCTCGCTCTTTAGCTCAAGGCCAGCACTCTATCACTTGAACCACAGCGCCACTTCTGGTTTTCTGAGTGGTTTATTGTAGATAAGAGTCTCACAGACTTTCCTGCCCAGGCTGGCTTTGATTTGATTCTCAAATCTCAGCCTCCTGAGTATCTAGGATTACAGACAGGCATGAGCCACCAGTACCTGGTGGCTCATATAGCTTATATAGTACAATTACTATAGCAATTACTTCATTTAATATTGAAAAGGGATCTTTTTGAACATGTGTCTTACATATTTATTCCTGATAGATCTTTTGGAAAATATTATAGTGATGATCAGATGTGGAGATTTTAACCACACTTAGATGGTAGAGAGAAATGTTTTGGAATTTTTTTTTTTTTTGGTCCGGTCGTGAGGCCTGAACTTTGGGCCTGGGCGCTATCCCTCAGCTCTTCAGCTCAAGGCTAGCGCTCCACCACTTGAGCCACAGCGCCTCTTCCAGCTTTTTTCTTTTTGCTTATGTGGTACTGAGGAATCAAACCCAGGGCCTCATGCATGCAAGGCAAGTGCTCTACCATTGAGCCACCTTCCCAGCCCTGTTTTGGAAATTTTGACATCTTAGAATCCTGAAAGCTAAAGCCGGGCGCTGGTGGCTCACACCTGTAATCCTAGCTACTCAGGAGGCTGAGATCTGAGGATCGCGGTTCAAAGCCAGCTCGGGCAGGAAAGACCGTGAGACTCTTGTTGCCAATAAACCACCAGAAAACCGGAAGTGGCGCTGTAGCTCAAGTGGTAGAGCGCTCACCTTGAGCTGAAGAGCTGAGGGATAGCACCCAGGCCCAGAGTTCAAGCCCCATGACCGACAAAAAAAAAAAAAGAAGAATCCTGAAAGTTAGAAAATTTAGCTGATAGCCGGGCGCTGGTGGCTCACGCCTGTAATCCTAGCTACTCAGGAGGCTGAGATCTGAGGATCGCGGTTCAAAGCCAGCCCGGGCAGGAGAGACCGTGAGACTCCTATCTCCAATAAACCACCAGAAAACCGGAAGTGGCGCTGTAGCTCAAGTGGTAGAGCACTCACCTTGAGCTGAAGAGCTGAGGGACAGCGCCCAGGCCCAGAGTTCAAGCCCCACGACCCACCAAAAAAAAAAAAAAAGAAAATTTAGCTGATAGTGGCTGGGTGTTGGTGACTTATGCCTGTAATCCTAGCTATTCAG